TTTCCCAAGTCTAAACAATGGGAAACGCCATTTTCTACTAGAAAAAGTATCCTAAGATGACGTTACGTTCCCCTTGCTTCCAACGGCTATACCTTCAAATCTTGTAACGTGGCTTCATCCTTACTCGCCCCCTCGCCGATAAACCTGCTGGCCATGTCTAGGACATCAAGTAATCTCTCTGGATGAATCTTGTACAGCAGTTGAAACATGATTCCAATGATCGTCGTACTTTCTGCATTGTGACGGCGCTTCCATCTTCGGTCATTTAACTCCGCTCTAAAAACATAATGTTCACTTCGTGAGTTGCGACAATGGAACATTCGCGTCGACAGCTGGATTGCACTAAAGTGGTTAGTTTTAGTGTTATGCAAAACCAAAGGGCAATTTGTACTCGGAGTACCTGGCTACACAGTGACAGTGGTTACTTTTACCCTTGTGACCAGGGTTCCGTTCGCCTCAATAACATGTACACCCTGTGTTTAACACTAAGTAAGTTCCCTCAAAAATGTCTTGTAAATCTTTCACTAAAACTTAGAATTTACCCATGCAAAATTTCTACTGTGAGCACAGAAACGTTGACTGTATAAACTAGGCTTAAAAAAGTGTTGCTGACTCACACCGGGTACTCTGGTTTCCTCCTGTAGTAACGAATTCTCTCGTTGAAGAACTGCTTACCTTACAACAGCACCGACATTCACTCCATCTTCACTTTCCAAGGACAAGCTTTCTCCACTCTCCGCTACAAATGCTTTCACTGCTTGCAGCGGTTCTTGCAAACTTAGTATTTCCATTTTCTCTAACGCCGCTGCGTCTGTTGTCCCTTCTACAACAGACTGCACTGAAGCATCTATTACACTAGACGCACTCTCTTCAAGCACTTTGGGCAATGTACTCAAATCCACTGAAGGTACAATAATTTGTTCGCTCCATCTTTCGTACAGCTCTCTCAGAAATGGCAAAACTTTCAAATTTAGAGGTGTCATATACTCAGACGGTACTGGAGCTTGATCAATCTCGTCTAAAAACGATTTCAGTTCACTCCTACTTTCTTCTTTAAGCGCCAAATCCTCCTCAAACAATGTGAATAAAATCCCTGGATTCTGTAAAACATCTTTCCTCAAGAGTTTCAAGAATTGTAATGTAGTTTCAGGCACTTTGTCACCTTTCCTGGAACAAGAAATCACATGTTCGAGTAACAGCACCATTGCTGAATGTTTGAGCCCAACAGTATATAACCAATTTACAACATCAAGTAGTTCTAGTCGTTGAGGAACCAGCAATTCCGCCTTGGGTTTTGGTGGAACCTCTTTTACTTCTAAATTGCATTCATTTTCTTCAGAAAAGGCTTGTTCTTTTGTTATTGCCTTAGGTAATACTACCTTTCTCAATTCATCATTTAAAATTTCACCATTCCGTTTTTCAACATTTAAGCTGATTCCACCGTTCAAAGTTTCACTACACGCGACTGTCTTCACCAATTCATTCAAAGGTATACAATTTAATTTCCAAATACCATTTGACGCCCAGAATATTGTCTGTTTACAATTCGCTCCTAAAACTTGCACTCTTTTTGAGCTAAATTCTTGCAATGTTTGCAATAGTTTTCCACTAACAATATCATAAATATATACAAATGAATTACAATCAATTATACCAAAAGTTACTCCAGTTGAAAACAATTTAACTTGATGAGAAATTTTATGAATCTGTGCAGGTAGTTTAAGATTACAAACAGGTACAAGTTTGATAATATTAGACTTATTAGCAAGTTTTAGCAATGCTCCACTTGTGTTTAATAGTAGTAAGTCTCGAGTAGATGCATGCGTTGTAATCCCAAACCATGTCTTTGATTCGTCATCAGCATTCTCTGTCCAGCTTCCGACTAATGCAGTAGTGATGTCACGAAAATCCGAGAGACTGCTCACTGAATCTTGCACTTTGCCATTTTTGATGACAACAGCCTAGATATTTAAGATAGAAAGTTTAAGGATAGGGAATACCTTTATTTGAATCTGGCTGTGTATTATTTAAATTGACAAGTATTGACCTCTTACCCTACCTTGACATTCAGGCATCCACTCATCCAAAACATAAGAATTCTTTCCAAATAAATCTGACAGGGCTGAATACCTATGCCATTGTTAAACACACAAACACTAACTAGAGGACAGTTATGTAATATTGCCTGAGTAGAACCTATCTCAATTTTAACTTTCTCGCTTTCGTTACGGACATTAATACTTCTATAGCAGACACAGTACGCATCCGCAGCAAACCCGCGCTTCTCGCACCAGAACAGATTTCCACTTTCTTCGTGCCATTTGACGTCTATGATTTGTGAACCCTTGGCATTGCTCAGTTGCACGCTTTTATGTTTTATCCATTCATGAGATGGTCGTAGAAACTCCCAGAAGTTAGTTGCTCCAGTTTCGAAAATAACAAACACTAATGAGGGCTCCGATTTGTCCCAGATTACTTCAACCACAGGCTCAGGGCTTGCATCTAAAACACAATCTGTCAAAAAATTCGGCTATAAGTTTATCAAATAGATCTTTATCACAATGACGTCAAATGCACAAAAACACTTAAAGCAATGTCCCAAGGAACAAATTTTAGCGACAAATCCCAATGATGTTTTTATGAAATTTATTGTCTCACCAACGACTTGCATTGTCTTGTGGAACAGTGTATAAATTGATTTTTTCACAGTGTATAAATTAATTCATTACCGTTTGGAGTACTCCGGATTTTCGCAACACTAATTGAATCGAATCAAAAAACAGTCACATTGACTGTTCTGACTGCCCCAACTCAAAAATAGGGGCAGCCAGAACAGTTATGTGACCGTAAGAACAGTCATGTGACCATTATTGGTTCGATTTAATTAGTGTTCCAAAAATCAGGAGTACTCTGAACAGTAAATGGGGCAGCATCCTGGTCTATTAATATCTGTCATCACCAAACTTACCTGTATGGATGGTTAGGTGCAGACGTGGTCAGCTAATGATCTACGGATTTGAGTTACTTGGATTCAGGTCCGAATCACGTAAACCTGTCCATTCAGGACCTGGCCACCGAACGTCTGCACCTTATCACACCGAACTTAGTTCGATGGAAATTAAATCGAAAATCAATTGTAGTCATGCAAAAAAAATGCTTCTTCTCTGAGCAGATTACTATTGCAGTTGGCTACGAATTAGCTAATGACCTGAGAGTCTGCTTGGCACTCTCTATATCCGATATCCTGAGGGCACATAACGTACCCAGACTGCGAGCGGTTCCTATGATTAATATGTAACCTCATTTAAATGCATCCCATGAGGTCACATGACCATAGATCACCAAGGTCACATGACCTCCCTGAAACACCTTTAATTAACTATTCTAAGAAGCCAAACTTTTTAAAAGCAGCGAAACAAACACAGTGGGAAAACATAAGTTTATACACAAGTAATCAATCACAAACCATTTGGAGTTGTCGGAACGGATCGGCGCCAGTTCAACTGAGGGACAATATCAAATGCATACAAATTAGAATCCTCTTTCGCGGTCAAAAATATATGTTGAACATTTAGCCACAGTTTAGAAATTCCATTTTTATCTAAAATACTCGTGAGTAAGTCGCTGCCTCGAATGCAAGGCGTTATTTCGTTGTATTTCACAAGAGAAAACATCGCCCATCATTTTGCAACTTTTAGTTTACATATTGTTAATTTCCATCACTTCAAAGGACTTCCTTATGACTCGTGTTTGGTCGTAATTAGATTGGCTAGGTAATATTTTTGCATAATTAATTTTATTAATATGTGTAAATTTTAATTATGCATGTATTATTTTTCATAATTAATTTCGCAGGATTAATTTGCATATAAATTCCTAGTATACAAAGGTTTTCTAAAAGAAGTATTTAAAATAAAAGATTCTTTGAGGGACAGAAAAGCTTTCTCAGATGAAAGGTTTCTTTCGTATTATAAAATTTAAATATTTAACAATTCCTTAGCAAGAGCTTTGAAATTCCTTAGTTTTTCCACATCTGTAACTTTGAAAATAAACTACTGTACACAAAAACTAAAAAATTGTACAATTGACAAGAAATCCCAAAGCACTGCTTGGGTTCTGTTTGGGTCTCATAATCCGATGTTAAATAGCCTGATTTCTTCGGTTGAACTTCGGAAATTATATTGCGCAATTTTTTCAACGTCGGAATACGATTGAGGCTCGAATCTGAATCGATGATGTTCCGATGATGTTCCGAGTGTGATTGCGCGGTCACATAGTGCCGACGTGGCGAGCCGAGAAGAAAGGCACATTCAAAAGAGATTTTGTGTTCACATTGTCTCTGCTGGTTGTCTCGCGTTTTTCTCCTAAAATGAATATATTCCGACTTGCTGGAGACTTGTCCCATCTTCTAGCAATACTATTGCTGCTGTGGAAAATATGGAAGACTCGCTCTTGCGCTGGTAAGCTCTTATATTCTTACATTTTGTTTTATTATATTGTCGAATGTGTACTGTTCTTATTGGTCTATAAAACACGAAGGTCAATATATGACTGTTTGATCTCTCGTATAGCTAAACGATAGCCTCAACTATGATTCCACTTTATCGATCTTTCTAATTTATATCATATTATGTTGTATTTCCTTGTATAATTTTGAAAACAAATTGTTATAACATACACAGATTCTATATATTGTAAATTGTATTAGCTACATTGCAATTTGCAGTTGATCTTTTACGATAAATTTGGCTGTGATATTCTTAGTAATATTTGAGATTGCAGAGTGTTGGTTTATTTATGGTTAGAATTCAGATTTTCGTAAATTTTGGAGATGAAGTTTTGTTATTTTACTGGCATATTATGACACGTGGAATTTTGCCCGTCAGCGTTAAATTAAATTACCCTGGAAACGAGTCACTAAATAGAGGGGTATTGTTTCAAGGCCTCAAATCTCAGTTGTAGATTATTGCCTGCAGTTTTGCCCTGGGTTTTTTGTGAGCCTGCCATGGAAAATCATGCAAAATCAATCTTACAATGCATAATCAATCATGTATAAATTGGACATGCAAGTTCTGTATAACTTCACTTTAGGATAGCCCACATAAATTTAAGAACATGTACATTGCATGCATAAGATTAAGCCTGCTACTGTATGTTGAGGTGTTGCTTAGGGTTCAGGGGTGGAAAAAATTGGCAAGCATGCGAGCAGCTGCAGGAAATTTGTTTGAATGAAGATTTGCTATTGAAAATTTGAAAGAAACCTTAACACCCATGGGTACAACAAAATATGGTTGACAGACATTATTCCTTGAATTTAAAACCATGGTCAGCTAGAATACTATATGTTTAGCACATGCAGATTTAGCACAAAAATGCTCCATTGGTCTGCATAAAATTTTTGTCTCCAGGTTGTGCTCCCAGGAAGAAATACTTTTTCCTGGCTCTGAGATGGCTGATCAGTCGATATGCTTGAGTTGTGCTTGTGATAAGGGATGATGAGCCTGTCCTGACTTTACTAATTTCAATCCTTGTAACATTTTCCAGGTATTTCCGGCAAGAGTCAAGTTCTTTTTGCACTGGTATTCACCACACGATACCTTGATCTTTTTATGTCATATATATCACTTTATAATTCTGTTATGAAATGTATATTCATTGCGTGCTCATATGCAACTGTCTATCTGATCTTTGTGAAATTTAAAGCAACGTACGATTCAAATCACGACACATTCCGAATGGAGTTCATTGTTGTCCCCGTTGCTGGTCTTGCTGTTCTTGTTAACCATAGTTTGACGCTTGTTGAGGTAATAAGAGACAAAACTAAATTTATTTATACTGGATTGATCTGTCAGTTATATCTGGCAGTATTTTTACTCCTCCAGTGACTGAGGTGAATTATAATCAAACAACTGCATGAAACAAAGACACATAACAATTGGGTTGAACACAAGTATTTTACAGGGACCTGTTGCTAAATTTATTAATTAAATTAACTAATATTCCCAAACTTCCCAAAGGTTTTGTGGACGTTTTCCATCTACCTTGAGTCGCTGGCCATTCTACCGCAGCTGTTCATGATCTCAAAGACAGGAGAGGCAGAGACAATTACAAGTCATTATCTGTTCGCCCTTGGTTCTTACCGAGCTCTGTACTTAGCCAATTGGATTCTGCGCTATGCTTCCGAAGGGTTCTATGACCTTATTGCTGTCGTCGCAGGATGTGTGCAGACTGTTCTCTACTGTGATTTCTTCTATCTGTATATTACTAAAGGTAGGTTAGGAATTGGTTGGTTATAATGATGATGTTGATGATAATGGTGGGTGGTGGTTATCGTGATGATGATAATGATGGTTGTGATGATAGTTGTGATGGTAGTTAGTGGTGATGGTGATGATGGTGTAGCGTATCCCAAAAAATTGTTCCTTTTACAATATCACAATAACAAGAAATTTACTATGATTAAGCGCTTTGGGAACAAAACAATTGAATTGGGCAGAAGCACTAGGGTGTGAGCATGTTATTTCAATAGGAAAAAGCATTTAAAGTTACCTACTGCATCATGACAAGAACGATTTGTTTTGCCATGGTTTTTGCATATATTTAAACCCCATAATAGGAATACATGTAAATTATGTTGGGTGTTCCCATTTATAAACGGAACAGCAATTAAAAAGGAACAAATCGTTCCTACTTCAATTTGGTTGTTCCGTTTATAATATGTTCCGCAAAGCGGAACTGATTGAGAACAACTTGTATTAGGAACACTTAATCTGTTCCTTTTCATGGTTCCTTTGATTAGGAACAAAATGTTCCGCGAAGCGGAACATTAATATTCTAACTAGGTTAGCAAACTGGAACAATTTGTTATGCACATATTGCTAGCTTTTGTTGTTCCGTTTTATTGTTCTGTTTTATTGTTCCTTTAAAGCCAACATTCCTCTATTTTAATTTTGCCATTTATTTCGCAAAATAACACAATAATATATTGCACTTGGGTCTATTTATTTAACATATAAGATTAATACATCGCATATGC